AAGATAGACTCCGGTGTCTTTTATTTTTCTACGGCATTTTGCCTCATTGTCGACTGCATATATTCTGAATATTTTTTTCCGTAAGTGTAATGTTTAGTGAAGTATAGTTTTTATTGCAAAATTCCTTCGCCATTCTATTGGGAAAATTTGATTTTTCTGATTCTTGAAAAGATCAAAAGTAATTCGGAACTATTTAATATCCTTTAACCATTCAAAAATAAGTGGGGAAAAAATTTTCATCCACACTCTGTACCCTTCAAAAAAAATATTCCCAGAAGAAAATTTGTATTACAGCAGACATTTTAGTTTCTGAAAAATTAAAATTTTCACCCCACTAGCTTTTAACCTTTTCAAGAATATCATATCACTTAGGATAAAGTAACATTTACCAAAGATTCATAAGCCTTCGTCTTATACTGCTTAAATTACGCAGACTCTTAAGATGAGAGATATAGAAAGATGACCTAAATATTTTCATAGATCTCTAAAAGAATATTTATGAATTACGTTATGAACTTATTAAATAGCTTGAAAATGAGGCAATTCAAGCTTAATATACTGTAGTCATATTTGGCCCTATATCTCCACTTAATATTGATCCATAATATTTAAACTAAGCCAGGTATTATATTACAGGGTTCTATAGTACCCTACCAAAAGAAATTATAGGCAAATTAGGGGGTTCGCTATGTGTACCTCCTATAGGTAACTGTATGTTTAAGATATAATAGTGTGTTGAATAGTGCATCTCGTGCATGTTTCAGTGACGTCATTTTTTCATAATGAATCTATTGCCAATAGCCCATTAGTGCATAGCTTGTATAGCCTTGTATAGTATAGTTATTAGTGTATAGTTTATAGCCAATAGCCCATTTAGTTATACCAGGAGTTGGAACTTGGCTCCGCCTCCATCACTTGGGATCCGACGATACTATTTCGCTATTTTTGGGAGAAGGATGTGAGCAATCCTGACCAAGGTTGCTATTTGGTGATTGTATGACAAAAATATTTATTTCGCAATTTTTATGGGCATTTTTTTTAACATTAAATTTTTTATAAATTTGATATTTCTCTCTTTTGAGTGTATAGTTTGTTCATTTTGAGATATTTTGCTGTTATATGTATTTAATTAGCTAGAGTAACGAAAGGTATAGGAGCAGATGTTAAAGCGAAGTAAGTAACTGAAAAAGAATTCACTGTTTACTTTTGGCACGCATTAAGGATTCTAAATTTCAATCTCGGAGACTTTTCTCCTCTTACTTCCTCGCCGAAATTAACTCTTCATCCGAGGAAGTAGGATTAGGTGCCATCTCTTGGGGAACGAACTATAGTATATATTTAGACATAACAATCTAATTAAATTCAACAACTTTAATAATTTCCTCTACAAAAGCTCTTAATAATTATAAGAGTAGCCACCATTCTGTCCAGACACCATCACTCTGGCACTTCCAAGCTGTTGAGGAGTGTTCGCAGCAACAGCAACGGGGTAGGGTGCTCATGCAGAAGCTGCAAATTGTAATGGTTGGCTTCCGAAGGCAGGAGGTGCATATTGGGGTTGGACAGGAGGCACTCCCGGAATGTTGCCATTTGACTCTGGAACAGATGCTGCTTCTGTCCCGGGATACGTCATCAGGGTGGGAGTGTCTTCTTTGAAAACAATGACGGAAGCTGGTTCTCTATTAACCATTTAAAAATATAAGTGGGGGGGGGGATTTTTCATCCACACTCTGTACGCTTTAAAAAAATGTGTATTACAGCCGACATTTTAGTTTCTGAAAAATTGAAATTTTCACCCCACTAGCTTTTAACCTTTTCAAGAATATCATATCACTTATGAATCACATTATGAATCACACATGTAAATGTTATTCTATCCTAAGCCTTCGTCTTATAGTGTTTAAATTAAGCAGACTCTTAATGTGAGAGGTGTAGAAAGATGACATAAATATTTTCATAGATCGCTAAACGAATATTTATGAATTACGTTATGAACTTATTAAATAGCGTGAAAATGAGGCAATTCAAGCTTAATATACTGTAGTCATATTTGGCCCTATATCTCCACTTAATATTGATCCATAATGTTCAAACTAAGCCAGGTATTATATTACAGGGTTCTATAGTACCCTACCAAAGGAAATTATAGGCCAATTAGGGGGTCCGCAATGTGTACCTATCGGTGTTGATATAATAGAGCAGGGGTGGCGAACCTTTAAGCACCAACGTGCCATTTTTTCTATAAAAAAACGCTTAATGAGATCATGGACGTGCCGTCAAATAATTTTGACTTCGTGATTTTTGGGAAAATGATACAAAATAGTACCAACTCAAAACTATTTATTTACTATGAAAAAAAACATTCTGCAATGTCTCAGTAATATGCGTAGTTCAACTTAAGTAACATCAGTGTGACTTCTGTTTCAGATAAATAGCAAATAACAAATAACTTATATTAGGTTGTAAGAAGTTAGTTTAAGCAGGACTGTTAATTATTTTTTTTTTGCTAGTCATTTATTGTGAGCTTGTTTTTAATGGTTATTAATTATTTTTTGACATTAATTGTTACATTTTTTGTCAATAATTGC